AGTATTCCCAGTGACTCCCAGAGCTGGGGGGGGCTCTATTCCCATTCCCAGTATTCCCAGTAACCCCTGGAGCAGGGGGGGCTGTATTCCCACTCCCAGCATTCCCAGTAACTCGTGGAACAGGGAGGGCTGTATTCCCATTCCCAGTATTCCCAGTGACTCCCAGAGCTGGGGGGGCTCTATTCCCATTCCCAGCATTCCCAGTATTCCCAGTGACTCCCAGAGCTGGGGGGGGCTCTATTCCCAGTATTCCCAGTGACTCCCAGAGGTGGGGGGGGGCCGTATTCCCACTCCACCCCCCCCCTGAAGGAATTCCCAAAGGAAAATCCCCCTTTTCCCCAAAAACCCGGGCTTTCCAACGTTCCCGCCCCGCGGAGGAGCAGAATTCCGGGGAATCCCGGACAAGCGGCTCCCGGGAGGGGCTTCCCCGGCGGAATTCCCGGGGAAGGCCCCACCTTGTGCTTGGATTTGCGTTTTTTCTTGGATCTCCTCTTCTCCTTCTCCTTGCGGCGCTTCCGCTTGGCCCGGCGGTGCGACTTCTCCTCCTCGGAGTCGCTGCGGTGCTTCTCCCCCTTCTCCCTCCTCCCCCTCTCCTGGGATTGGGATTGGGATTGGGAATGATCCTCCTCCCCCCCGTCGTCCTCCAGCTCCCCCTCCTCCAGCTCCCCATCCTCCCTGGAGAAGGGAAAGCACAAAAAACGGGAATGTTGGACCTTTGGGGGGGGGAAAATAGAGGGGAGGAAACGGCCTCGCTCCGATCCCCAATTCCTGCAGGTTTCCAGAATTCCTGGGGAGATCCCAAATTCCCAGGGAACTCCTGGGGAGATCCTGAACTCTTGAGGAGATCTGAAATTCCTGGAGAGATCCCAAACTCCTGGGGAGATCCCGAATTCCTGGGGAGATCCCAAACTCCTGGGGAGATCTCAAACACCTGGGGAGATCCCGAATTCCTGGAGAGATCCCAAACTCCTGGGGAGATCCCGAATTCCTGGGGAGATCCTGAACTCTTGAGGAGATCCCAAATTCCTGGGGAGATCCCAAACTCCTGGGGAGATCCCAAATTCTTGGGGAGACCCCAAGTTCCTGGAAATACCCTAAATTCCTGGTGAGACCCCAAATTCCTGGGGACTTCCAAATTCCTGCTGAGATCCCAAATTCCTGGTGACTTCCTAAATTCCTGGGGAGATCCCAAATTCCTTCTGAGATCCCAAATTCCTGGGGAGATTCCAAATTCCCAGTGGCTCCCCAAATTCCTGGTGAGACCCCGAACTCCTGGGGGCTTCCAAAACTCCTGGTGAGATCCCAAATTCCCAGGGAATTCCTGGTGAGACCCCAAATTCCTGGAGATACCCCAAATTCCTGGAGATATCCCAAATTCCTGGTGAGACCCCAAGTTCCTGGTGAGACCCTGAACTCCTGGGGGTTTCCAAAACTCCTGGGGAGATC